AATAGAAGTGGGAAGAAGGAAAAATCCAAAAGGAAAAGTATTTAATTCAATGCTTATACTACATACACCGCATACATGTCCTTTTGTTCTTTTCCTGTTCAGATAAAGCTGCTTTTTCTGATCAGGTGGTTTCTGCTTGAGCATTGCTAATGCCCTTATGCATAAACAGGAGGTTAGCTTGAGGAGTGACGGTGGAAAAGGCTGCTTTTAGATGTGTGTCTGATATATGTGCAGTGTGTTTTATGAGCGGACGGGGGAGTTCTTTAGAGGCATATATTGTTCAGATTTATTTTTCTTAGTGTAGCTGCTTGTCTCCGGTTTCGTTTGTGAGTGCAACGACATGATTTAGTTGTTCCCCAGGCCTAGAGGATGATGTGCTCATGCAACACTCCCATTCCACTTGGTGGGCAGGGGAGATTGTCACTCAGTCCCAAGCACTCTGATTTCATGGCCTTTCCTTCAAGAAACCAGGGTCTGGGAATTCAATGATAAACCACACTCTCCTTTGTAGGTTTCCTGTACATTGGGCAAAACAATAGACACAAAAGACAGAGAATGACATTTATTGCATGCTAAGGAGGGCGTTGCACTTTATAACAAAATGAAAAGACATAAATAGAGAAGGCCAAGCAGGACAGTTAGCTAGGGGTGGAGACTCGTGGTTCCCAAGTTTAAGATGATCCTCCATTTTTCTCTACTCTGATATGGGGCATTTTTGAAAACACGCAGCACTTAGGCGACAATGTCTTTACACAGGTGTTTTACAGCTAGTGGTTGATTCTGGTATCCCCCAGAGGGTTCTTCTTTTACTCAGGCTGATGAAGACTGGGGAAGACTGGGGGGATTAGTTAAATGTGTGTGGCATAGTTTGCTGTAAAAACTCCCTCTGGAACTATTTTTGTCTCCCTTCTCTGAAGTTCCAGCGCTTTTACTGTCAATATCCATTATTTAGCACTTAGCATTCTCTTGTTGGTTACCTTTTTATGTCTATATCCTTGAAGGAAGGAGCCAAGTTTCATACCTCTTTGTTTTTCTAGGCTTGTCCATAATAGCAGCTCAATCAATGTTTGTTGATATTGGCCTCCCTAACCTTCTCCCACCCCCATCCTCTTTAAAGTAGAGCAGGCAGGGCATAGCTTTAAATGCAAACTCAGTTTAAACAAACTGAAGGGTTTTCAGGATAAAAACATGGAGGAAGTCTTGCGTGGCAGGACAGAAGGAACACCTAAGATGCTTGGATGACCCTGGTAAAGCAGAGGTACCCAGAGGCCTGCTGTTTGCCACAGGTTATGAAGTGATTCATGCTTGGCCTGGCTTTCCATTAAGTTCAGAGCTCTGCTACCTTTACTTCAGGCCAATTCAAATTTGAGGATGTGCAGTAAATCCTCTATTGGGATTTGAGGGACTGGCGGGGGTGGGGTGGTGGGGGGGCACTGTTAAAGAAGTTAAGTGTTTCACGGATTCCATTATATAAAACCGATGACCTAGTGGATTATGTGTTGGCTGTTAGCCACAAGGTCTGCAGTTCGAACTCACCAGCCTCTCCACGGGAGAAAGAGGACGCTTTCTGCTCTTGTAAAGATTTATAGCCTCAGAAACCCATAGTGGGGCAGTGGTACTCTACTCTGTAACGTCACTAGGGGTCAGAATGGACTCGTTTTTGAAAATTGTATGAATGTCCTGGTAGCTGTAGGGGAAGATTACTTAAAAGAATCTTTTGAGAACAACTTCCACGCTGGAGGCAGGCATACTACAAGCAGCTAGCAGACCTTCTTTGCTACTAGGATTTTGTTCTTTCCAGAATCATCTGCAATGACAAGGGGTGGCAAATGTCTCAACGGGCCTCTTTAGGGGCAGGATGAATCCCCAAACTTTGGCCCCAGATAAATGTGAAACTTTAAACCAAAAATATCCCCTCAACAATAGGTTAGCTTAATTAGTAAAGAATGTCTGCCTTGAGCTTTGCACTCTTTTAAAGAAATATCTCTACAGGATCAAAGTGAAAACAGCAGGTAGTAAATCTATGTTAAGAGCAGGGGAGGCCTCATTCTGAATAGGAGGTTGAGAATGCTTGCACAACCTGTGAAATGTAATCAATGCCCTGGCATTTTATACATAGAAATTGATGCATTGCTGTCTGTTTTGTGGGTATATTTTCAACTGCAATAAAATAGTTTCTAAAGTATAAAGAGTGATTTTCCCTGTATGCGATCACATAATTTTCAGAAACAAAGCATTTTATACATACCAAAAGATGTTTTTTGCTACATCTATGCAATGAGATACTGAGATGCAAAGAATGAAGTTTTAAAAATTTACCCTGATATGAAGGGCTTTTGAAGATATATGGCTGAATAAATAAATTCAAGGTGTATTGTCATGTATGATCCCATTTGTAAGGGTGGGAAGGTGTACACAAACAACTATGTATGTGTGTGTTTGTGATGTGTGTATATATGTGTATATGTATCGTATCTCTTCTGAAGGTTACAAACAGGCATAAAGGGAGGGTAAAAGTTCTTTGGAAAGAAGTGCTGGTGAAAAGGTATGTTCCCACTGTAATCCATTCAGTAGTTTGATTTTGTCATGTACACATTTTACTTTGTCCTTGGTAACAGCAATGCTAACTTTAATAACTATCATCTCACCACTCTGATTAGTAGTAGTCCTCCAGCATATATTATGAGTTGAAAGTACCTAACTCGAGGGCAGTGAGTTTGGAGTTGTCTTTGGATCCAACTCTCCTGGCCACCTCTCCAAAGAGAGACAAAGTATAATCTTCCTAGGTGTCTCTATGTCTTGACCACTCGAACGCCTCATGAAAAATCACCCCCAAATCTTCACCTTGTCCCAAAACGGAATCATACCCCAATCCCTGCTCCACAGTCCTGAGTTTGAGACTTTGAGCAGTCCTAGCACAGCAATCTGTGCACAGGAGCCTACTTGAGACGTTTGCCTGCAGGCTGTGGACCCACTGCTTTCATACACCCAATGTTATATTCTGAGATCTAGTTCGGTATGAGGCAGTGTCTCCTTTGAGCATTTTTCCTCTTACACACCTTGATCCATGGCCTCTCGGAAGGCTCCCAATTAGGTAGGCTTGAATTGGATGTCACTCTGCCCTGGGCTATCTATCTCTGCATTTTCAGGGCCTTTACATTAAGACATGCTTCCTACTTGTAGTGTTTGCAGGGAAATATGGATCTGGGAAGACTGGTGGTTTCCATGGTAAATGTTCTCTCATATTTGTTTTCTCAAGTCCACTTTGGAGATACACAGCATGATTTCCTCCTTCAGTACCAACACCACAATAGATTAAGGTCATGGCACCACTGCAAAACTATTTAAAAGAGAAATCTCCCCCATCCCGGCTAGAAAAGGGGGTAATTTATTATTCTAACTGCAGGGAGCCAACTTCATATGCATCTCCAAAATTATAGGAAGACATTGGCTGTTTAAAAACAAAAGCCACAGAATCTACACACCTTGGAGGTAAATGCTTAAAACAGATCACCGGACTATGATTCTCAAAGTCCTGTGAGTCCCGGCGGGGACACATACATCTGTGGAGTGCTTTGTGTTTTACGGAGTTTTAATGCATGTTTCATTTTATTTCCATCTCAATGCCATGAAGTTCATAGGGCATGTCTTTATTTACAGTTAGGAAAATTAAACGATTTAACGAAAGGTGAACACATAATAAGTGCCAGAGCCTGAGATGAATTTTTCCTGAGACTCCAAATTCCATTTTATTCTCTCCATTCCTATGCTGTTTCTTTGTGTTTTAATTTTCTGCCCTGTAAAATGGCAGATTTTCAGGGTCCCAAACTTGCTGTTCTCAATTCTCCGCGTTCTTAAACAGTACTTCCCTCCACCACCACCACCCCCCACGGCAGCCCAGAAAGGTGAACACTACATTGATACTTATTTTGTGGGACTCCCCTCCTCGCCTGGTTTATTAAGGGAGAAGAAAAGTTACTAGTCTAAGTGCTGGACAGGGCCAAAAAGGTGTACCTGAGTTGGCCGACACACTTTCAGGTGACTGAGAATCAAGCTTCTCATCTTTCTTGACCCAGCAGTAGCTGGGGGAGAACCAAGAAGGAGACAATAGCCTCTTGTTCAGTTTTATCAATTTGGAGGACGGGTGGGGTAAAGAAGGAGATTGATGGCTCTCGCAACCAATCGAGAGGGAAACCCGAGTCAAGCCTCGCCAACCTGCGGAAGCCAAAGAAAGGTGGGTAGGACTTACTCTCTCGGGCTCGCTCCGCCCCCAGCCAGCTCTCCCAGCCCGCCCAGGAGGCGGGCTTTCCGCGAGCCCCGCCCCCGCTGCCACCCGCGCAGCGCGTCACCTAGGGAAGGGGCGGGCAGAAGCCGGGGAGCATAGGGAGAATGGAGGGTGTTTCGCCGAATTGTGACCTGGGTGGGGAGGCCTATTGGTCATAGGAAGCAAGAGGGACAGGAAAACACGAAGGAGCGCGACTTCTTCCTGTAAGGGTTGCAAGCCCACTTGAGCAAAACGGCTTTTCAGCATTTCTCGGGGGTCGCTGCCTCCCGCTGGGGGGCGCCGAGCAGTCGTGGCTCTCCCGCCCACGCGCCTGCCCCCTGCTGGTGCTGTCGCTCATGATCACAGTCCGGCCGAGAACACTCAACTACCTCCCAGCCATCCCTTCCGTAGGCCCTGGGTACACCAGCAACCCGGTGGTGCCATGTTGGATGGGAGGGACGAAGCCTGACCCCCACTTTCGGCGCAGCTCCGGGACCCCGCCGGTTCAATTGTTCGAAATTACCCCGCCTACTGGCCCCGCCTCTCTACTGTGCCTCCCTCCCCCTCTGCCTAGGGTCTGGGCCAACTCCCGCCCTCCTTTCCCCGCCCTCTACTCCGCCTCCCACCCCAGACCACCCCCAGCCCCCCCTCTTCAGGGCGGTCCTAGCGGCTCACCGCAAGAAGAAAAGCCACCCCTTCGTCCCCCTCCCCTACCTCTCATCCTTTGCCCAGAAGCTGCCTTCAGCGCAGTCACGCCCCTTCCTTCTGAGGAGCTTTCAGGCTGCCCAAGCTGGTAGACCCCTTGAATTCCTCCTCCGTCCCCGTTTTCTTTCGCCTCCTCTTTTCCCACTTCTCTTCTCCTGTCCTCCCACCTCGAGTCTGTCTCGCCTCCGATCATCCGCTGCTCCACCCTCCGGCCCGGTATCCTGCCTGTCCACCGCCACAGAGGAGAGCCTGGCTGTAGTCTTGAGGAGAAGAGCCGTGGGGAGTTGGGGCTTGCCCCCCTGCCCATCCCTGGCCACTGGCCCGGGACCAAAGCCACCTGAGCAAGCCGAGAGAGCCATCACCTTGCCTTCATTGCTTCCAGGGGTAGGAAATGTGTGGTTACTTTTTGCGGGGTACTGGGACAGGGGTTCGCGGTGGCTTGAACTTGGTCATGCTCTCGGCGGCGGTGCCTAAGACGATCCTAAGGTGCGCGGAGGGATGCCCGGGCGTTCTACTTTCTTTGTAGTTGGCCACGAGTTTTCCAGGATATGCTGCAAGTTCACTTTATTAGCATGTGAGCTCCCTTTTCCGTCGTCCTAGTTCAACGAGGAGATGCTAGTGGGTACCACTACTCCATGGTCCTTTTTACTTCCTTGTCTCCTGGGGTCCTGGTGGGTAATTAGTCACAAGGAAACTCAAGACTCAAGGGAATCTGTAATCTACATTTAGCCCCTAAGGAATATCAGTTCCTATCTGGGGCGATTAGATGAATTTGCCCTGAGTGCTTGAGGTAGAGTGAGGGCCAACACTCCTTTCCCTGGGGTCAGGGCAAGATCCAAGTAGGGAGTGAAGTGAAATGCCCGAGGTCTTCAGAACTGGAGTAATCTACAGGGACTGTCCTCCGTTTGGTATGTGGGTGTGTGTGTGCTGGTGCTGGGTAGTTCCTTATCTGCTTTATAAGGTTTTAAAAAACTCATAACTAGTTTTTCGGGGTCAGGCAGGTGTCTTGAAAGTCCCAACAGCGGGAAGGACTTCATCACTAGGGTGTGCATGAAAATGAGAAGGAAGAGAGTGGGGGAAAGTGACTTTCTTTGTACATTGTAATTTGCCACTAATACTACATTAACGATTTGCAGCATGGGACGAGACATAATTAAATTTTGTGCGAAATAGCGTTTCCAGTAGATATTTTACAAAGAATTTCTGAGAACCTTGGGAGTGTTTTAAATTCAATTCCCCTGCAGGGGTGGAAGTTAGGAAGCAGTTTTAAAACTTTCGTTAGTTAAGCCTCTTCTCCTATTCGGAGAGGAAGATAATTAGTCACCAAAATCTTTAATGATGGAGGGCTAAGGGCATTTAAGACTCCACGAGTTAGGCTTTGTGAAAAGTTCTTTCTCAGGCCAGCTTTTGTGAAGCCTTCTCAGTTAGACCTCTGAGCACCCTCATTTAGTAGCTAAGAATAGTTTGAAATACCATTTGGGCCTAGGGATTCACCCATCTCTCACTTACCTTCAGTTGGGCAAGTAAGACATACTTACATACATATATTTTTTAAATGATGGTATTTATATATCTGTTACTGAAATTGTGTATTTGGGGGAACATATCTCCTTATTTTTTAAACATAATTTCTTTGGTTAATTTTAACGAGGGAAAAGACAGCAGAGGGAGAAGGAACATTGCAGGGTGACAATTTTAAAGGCTATCATGTTTCAGATCAGCCAGAGGGAAGAGCTGGCCCGACCCAACTACGTTTTATAACTGGCCTGGGACATTTTAATAGCCAGGTGGTTGTAGAGTAGCTGAATCTATTTACAGATGATAACTCAGGTTCCAACTATTCTGTATGGGTTTATCTGGTGTCATTTACAGACATTTTCTGATACTACATCATACTTCATTTTAAGATATTTCTTTCTTTGGAAAAGTTTGTGGCTCAATAAAATTGAAAGTGTCTGTTCTAGAGTATAGATATGGAGTAAAGTTCCGACCATATTTTCAAGTAGAGTAACGTCTCCATGAACGTTATAGATCGGTTTATCTACTTAAAAGACTTAAGAAAGGTGATTTTTAAAATTCATAGTGAACGGGACTTTGATTTGGAAATATCTCATTTCTGGTTTCATGAGTAAGCCATGTTAGATTAGTGCATAAGCAAGGAATTTTGTCCAATGGCATTTTCTGAAATCTTGTGGAGAACAAAGCAGACTCTAGAATGCTTTGAGCACAGTCTGATCAGAAGGCAGAGGGATGGGTGCTATGACTTTGAGGTTCCACTGAGTGCCAGACTTCTAAGTGGGTGCACCTGCTTCTGTGTCTCTCAGAAGAGCCCATTCCCAGGGCTTGTGCCTCATTTAAAAGGGTGTCTTTGTAATTAAGGAGACTCCCCATCCCTCAAACTTCCTTTGATTTGACTTTTTTAAGCCCCCCCCCCAATTTGGAGGCAAGAGGAATTTCCCACACTTTTCTATTCTCACCTTTAGATTTTTTTTTTCATTTCTCCCCTCAAAAACAACAGCAACGGTACCTGAAATGCTAAGGATAGGTAGAAGTTATTGATTTTGCTTGCAGGGAGTGGAAAGCAATGTGAAAAAGTGGAGGGAATGATCCTGCTTGGGAAATGCTTGTGGCCAGGTAGTCTCATCCGTGGAGACTGAGAATTTGGAATGCCTGAAAAGAGTCCACTCTTAAGGGACTATCTGGATAAATTGTCCTTTGCACCCATTAAAGCTCAGCTTAAACCCACTGAAAGGGGTGGAGAGAGGTGTGTGTGGTCATGACTGAGCCTTTTGGGATAGTAAATGGGTAAATGTTCCCAAATCTCCTCTTACATCACCTCTTTCCTTCATGGATTCAGTGGGTTTGGAGATCTGCTTGACAAGTTAATTAGCTGAGGACTAAACCAATTTGTTTCGAAATGTGCTCCATTGATTTCCTGTCTTCAAGAATGTTTTTGTTGGTGTTTTACAATGATGTGTTGTCTGCAGTGTTACTTACTTCTTGGTGCCTTGCAGCCTTTTGTGGACTTTGGTCCAAAATCTAGAATCCCACCCCCAAGTCAAAGGTTAAAATCAGGGCTCAGGGAACGAAGACCAGGATTAAACAGGACAGCTCTACTGTTTTCCTCTCCTCTGTGGTGGGCTTCTGACCTCTTTTCACCTAGAGAAAGGAGGGAAGTCAGCCCTCCACACACAACAGACACAATCTAAAGTTTTTCAAAAAAGGAAAAAAAATTGGAGGTCATTTGCTTTATAAAAGAATCCACAACAGGTTTCTTTGAAGGGGATAAAAAGTACCTTTTCATATAGTGTCTTTAACCTATGACGTGATATATAAAATTTCAATTTAACCTAAGCGTTCTGGGGAACACATTTATTGCAAAAAGAAAGGCATTCGAATTTTGTTATAACGAATCTTACATGGGTTAAGTGAGGTCATTAATTGGCCTTTGAAATCTCTTTGTTATATGGGATGGAGTTAATTGTCTATTTTAATTGTCTATTATAGCACTTATAATAATGCTAGTAATATTAGCCTCTGACTAAAATCACTTGGGGAGGGGGCAAAATGGAGTCAACGTTGGGTCTAAAACGTAACAGTCATTTGGCCAGTAGGCTCAGTAAGAGAGACTGTTCTAAATTCTTAACAGTTGAAAGGCAGCAGTTGCCATTATTTACTAGAAATACTTTTCTGTAACTTTGGGTTGGGTTGCTATGAGACGGAGTTAACTCAGTCAGTGGCAGTGAGTTTTGTTTGATTTTGGTTAGGTTTGTCACATACACTGATTGATGGAAGCACAATTTGTATTTATATGAGGTAGATAGTCCTAATCTTAGACTTCTGCAAAATCGATAAAGTCTGATTTATTTCCAGAAATTGATAGTAGCCACTGTACTGCTAAGCACAAAGGTAAGTGGTTCAAACCCTCAAGCTGTTTCACAGGAGAAAAGATTTAAAGTGTCAGAAACCCAAAGGGGCTGTTCTGCCCTAGCATATCGCATCGCCATGGATTGGGATTGGCTCAATGATGGCAATGAGTTTGGTTTGTTTAGGATGAGGATATATAAATATAAACACTATATTTTATATTTTCGCAATATGTTAACTTAATTTTTTTAGAAAGACCCTTTCCAAAGCATCATCCCAAACCCTATTATTCGAAATTAACCATTTTCCCTGCTTTCTTTTATATCATTGCACCTATACATGCTTAAGGAGCCCTGTGGGTTATACATTAGGCTGCTCATATCGAAGTTAGTACTTCAAAACCAGCAGCCACTCCATATTCTTGCAAACAGTTACCACTGTCTCAGAAACCCACAGGGACCAGTCTATCCTGTCTTATAGGCTCACTACCAGTTGTAGTCAATGGCTGTGAATTTGGTTTCTGGAACTTTCATAACTTTTGTGTAGTTATGAGGTCCATACAGTGCTGCTTTTAAATAAAATTCAAAACCCAACCAAACCAGAAAAACCTCACTGCAATTGAGTTGATTCTGACTCAGCGTCCCTGTAGAACAGGGTAGGACTGTCCTTGTGGGTTTCTGAGACTAACACTTTAGAGGAGTAGAAAGCCTCATTTTCTCCCATGGAGCTGCTGGTGGTTTGAAACTGCTGACCTTGTGGTTAGGAGCCCAATGCATAACCCACTACACCCCCAGGCCCCTGAGAAAACTTATCTTTGTAAACCAGGGCCGGGGGCCGGGGGAGTGGAGTCAAGACCTGACTAAGGACACTGAAGGAAACATACTTGTTCCTTGAATGCCAGAATTGACTAAAATAGTTCACATGTCCTTCCCAACACTTTCTGTGATGTGAGGATTATTTGTATTTCTCGGGTGGCTGTACTGTCTACTCCTTTAGCCTCCTGTTTCGCCAAACGAGCACACTAAGGTCTACTGGTCACTGAGTCTAAGTCATTGCTGGTGATCCCTAAATCACCATCCCCATATCCTATCGAGAGAATATACAGATTTGCGTAGTCTCGTGAACTCTCTAGAATGAGGAAAGAAAAGCAGGAAACCACACTTAGGTTTGTTTTGTGGCTCTGAAATATAACGGATGTGTTTAAATTAGGCTACAAAATAGCAAAGAAAATAAAAGGGTTATACAATAAAATAAAAGACATGTAGGTGCAGAAAAATGACTCAAATTTAATAAGTTCGTCATTACAAGCCTTTACCACATAGTAAAAGTTTAGTCACTTTGAAATCTCCAGTTTTTGTTGGACCTATTTCTGCAAGCAAATGGCTTATCATAATTGGAATTAGATTAAATTACTCTAACCAGCATAGGAAATCAAGTATGGTTTGAAGTACTGACAAAATATCAAGGACAGGAATATTTTTTTTATGTCATACATGCTGATGGGGAAAATAGATATATTTGCTAGTGTTCCTTAAGATGGTTCTAGAAAAATCCACTTTCCCTCCTGATAGCTGACCATTCGTAAAGACACTTTTCACCATTCCCTCACCTCCATGAAATAACATCAGCCTGGGTGCATTGAACCCCTCTCTGACTTGCTATGTGACCAAGGGTAAATGAATTAGCGAATCTGCTCTTCAGTTACTCTTCTGGGAAGCCAGGGAATTAATACTTCACAGAGTTATTTGGGCATGCTTCATATTAGGCACATGCTTTGAGGTCATTGGATGAAAGGTGTTTGTATGGTGGCAGAATTATTATAGGGACCTGAACAGGTGTTCACTTTTAATGAGCTTAACATAACATGCCCGTTGGTGATCCATTGCCTTAGTGACTAATTAAGATTGTCCGAATATTCATAGTATTGCCTCCCAGATGTTAAAAAATTAAATATTTTCTAACCATGTGGTAAATTGGAGTGCCATGATGATGATAAATAGCTCTCAAAAAAGACATTAGTTGGAACGTGACATAAAGATCAATGAGTTTTTGAAAGCGCCTCCAAAAGATTAAAAAGAGTAAAAGTAGGTTTCCGTGTGCCTCTGTGTGGATGTGTCTGTGTTTTAAGGGAGAAAGTTCTGAGTACTATTTGCTTGTGACATATACTGATGATAACCAGTAACTGAAACCTAACCATCGCAGTGTGCTTTATACACAGCTGGTTTTTATTAATGATGGAATATTTATGCTTGCTGTACAATTCGTGGCTCATTTCCATATGTATGTCAGAACTTAAATACCCTCCAAAGCAACATTAAGATAACATTAAATATAAATCTGGCCTAGCTAGAAATGTTGGATTTGGGGGGTCCTTCTTACGTGTATTGGTGTTGCTTCAGATTGCCATAACTTGTCCAATCCCTCAATCTGAGGCATTGATGCTAAGCTTTTTCTTTCTTTTTTCATGTACACCATAACAAACTTCCCATTTTGATCCTTTTGATATGGACAAATGATCTGCCATAAGCATTTTGCCCCCCTCTCTTCATAATGCAGATGAAACTGATGTATGTATTTTTTAAGAGCATATTTTCCCTGCACATGCTTCTCATTAGCTGAGAGGCCTGGACTCAATCAGTAAAGCAGCAGAGAAACCACAGAATTGAAAGGAGAATGACGGTGGTGCATACTTGGAATATTTGTGGGAAGGGGATTGCTGACATCAGAAAATGTAGTGGCCTGAGTGTTAACAGCATTGAGGAGAAATAGGCTTTCTGTGCATTGAGAATTATTTTTAAGGGGATTAAAAATATGTGGGCCAGGTTTGCCATCCTTTTATGAAGTTACCCTGGAAATGTTGATAGAGGTTGTTATAGAATGGTGCAATTAAAGCCTCCCCTATTAGGAAGCTAATTAGTGCATCACTTAACCATTTATGATTATTTTCAACAGTGGTAGATTTGCATTGAATTGATGACTCCCCCCCCCCATGTAATAGAGAATGAAGGTAAAAAACAAATCAACAACACACAGATGGGGGCAATGATTTCCATGGCCTATTTTGAAGAAATCTAATTTCCTCTTTCTGGCAATAGGTTTTCAGCTTAGATTTTTGTTGCACTCTGTTTATATACAGTGACCACATTTTAGTTTAGTAGCCAGTTTTTCTTTCAGGATCATGGGCTGTAAACCAAAACTTATTCATTTGAGTTTCATATATGAATTATGAATTGGAGAAATAGAGTGAATCGCCCCAATCCCTTTTGATTAAGGTAATATTGGATTCTGCCTACCCCCCCAACACATCTCTTTTCTTTTACAAGTAGTTTTATATTTAGAGAGTGTATGTTTTTGTCTGGGGGAGGGTTTTTTTTTAAGCAAACAATTTTTGGAACTAAGAAAATTTTCATGACCCTCTTCACCTCCCCAAGAACACTTTGTCTGCCTCAGGCTGTCCGTGGAGGTTCTGTTAGGGGCATGTGATGAATTTTTCGGACCTGCTGTTTTTTTGTGAGGAGGTTAAGCGGGGCTCCCTTGGCAACCTGCAGGAGAGTGGTTCTGGTAGAAATGGGAGGGCAGGGTTCCTAATGTGTTGTTTCTAATGTATGCACGTCTTTTTTATGGGGGGGGAGTACTTGCTCTTTCGGTTTGGGAACCAATTACAATAGAATAAATGTGCTGTAGCTAAATATGGACGATAGGTCTAGGGTGGTCCTCCTGCAAGAGGAAGATGGGATTCTCTGCTCCTATAAAGATTTACAAAGCTGCAGACATTACTATCACACCCAGCATCATTAATCGGTCTGAAATGACTCGATAGTGTAGGAAATTTTTTTTTGCAGGGGGAGGGTAGTGCCTCGAATGAACCTGCATAATACAGTCATTCAATCCCTCGATTATCAAGTAAAAGGTGAGCAATTTGGAACTCTCTAGCCCCTCCATGGGATAAAGATGTAGTAGTCTGCTTCGATAAAGGAAATTCTGGGACGGTAGCTCTGCTCTGTCCTGTAGGGTCACTAGGTCACTTGACTAGGCTCAAGGACAAGGGATTTGGTGTGAATAGATAGGCCTCCCCTTCATCCCCATAACTTGTGGAGTACAACCACATATATTTACATATATTTTCTAATGCTTATTTTGGCATATGCTCACCTTGATTTCTGAGAGCGGGAATGTTGGCTGGGTTGTAAAATTTGTGGATTAACGGATTTCACTGTAGCCCTTCCTGGGAAGGCAGGGTCTAACTTCAATTTTGCAATGGCAACTCAGTCAAGACAGGTTCCTGGGGCTTGCAAGTCAGCAGGAGAAGGAGGGGCTGTCTTCTGCCTTTGGGGAGTGACTCAGGCCCTTTGGTATGAAGCTATGAACTGTTGGCTCCTGTCCATGCACCTGCTGGATGCCCCACACCTGCAGGCAGCACCTGAGCCCCACTCAGACACAGAAACCAGACTGAAGGTAGATGGAGTTCCCTTCAAAACGGGTGCAGCAAAACAGGGAGCTCCAAATTATGTTAGTAGAACTTTGCTGGGAATTCCATTTCACCGTTCCAAGGTTGATATGGGGATGCCTCTGAGATATGTTCTCCTAGGTGCAGGGCCCTCACTTGCTCAAGATACTCAGGGAGTACTGAGTTTCTCTGCTGAACTAGCCTCCAAAGAACGGAGGAGTCAGATCTATCGAGAATAACATGGAGCAGAAAGTCCTAAGGACTGGGTTCTGATCCAGGCCCTGCCACTGAACTACAGTGAAATCTTGGACAAATCAGCTATCCGTTCTGGACTTGAGCTTCTCTGGTTGTAAAATGGGACTAATCACATCTGCCTTTATCTCCTCACAGCCCTGCTAACAAGGAAAACAGAGATTACAGAAGTGAAAGAGCTTTTGTCTACTTAGAGAAAGGCTGGGAAAGCAAAGGTAATATTGTTATTATTATTGTTACTGCAATTGCACATCTCCATTACTATTTATTTTCTGCTGTTGCCTCTGTGCAGAGTTTGCGAAGTAGCTATACAGGGTCGAACTGCCCCTGTGAGTTTCTGAGACTGTAACTCTTTAAAAGGAGTGACTGGTGGTTTCAAACTGCCGACTTTGCTGTTAGCAGCCCAATACATAACCACTACACCACCAGGGCTCATTAGGTGTTGGTGTATAGACAATGAAAAATCATGCACCTCACCCTATAAGAGCCAGAAAGTTCCATTCCTGGTTCTACCCATTGATATTGATTTCGGTATAGACACTTAAAAACTTAGAAGGCAAGAATTGAATCTTGTTCTGTATTTCCGTTAAGCATTGTCAGCCCAAGGTGTAAATTGATGATGCATAGATAGAGAAGCTATGGGGTAAATAAAGGAATGTCTCTCTCACTTCCCCACTTGCCAAGCGCTTGACTCTTGAATTATCACTTTTTTTCAGGGATTCATTCTTTGTTTCAATTTTGGTTCTGTTTAATTCTTACTGTGTATGACCCAGCACAGGCCCAAGGCCTTAGCTTTGCTAAACTAAAACCAAACCAGTTGACATCAAGTTGATTCCGTCTCATGGCAATTCCATGTGTTGCTGAGTAGAATTGTGCTCCATAGTTTTCAAAGTTGTTAGGTTTTGGATGCAGATTGCCTGGTCTTTCTTCCCAGGCACCTCTAGGTAGATTCAAATGGTTTGGGTTTGTAGTTGAGCACATAACCCTTTATCACATGGGAATTCCATCTGTCTGATATCCATATGGTTCCCAAATATATAGCTCAATCTGTCGTTGAATTCTTCCTTTTCCTCTTCTCAGAGATCAGGTTAGTCACCAAATCACAGGCCTCCTACTAAGCTCACAGATCTTTTTTTTTCTGGGGAGCGTTCTAAGCTGTCCCAAAGAGTATTTTTATTTGGTTTTGATTTTGGTTCTTGTTAGCGGTCTCTGCATTACCAGAGATATCCGCTGACAGCTCTATTTTCCTGTTGGATTGTAGCTACATTTTTGCCTCCTCTCCTTGACTAGAGACTGTACTCTGTTCGTTTATCTTTTTAATTTCCACCCCAATGCCCAGCACAGTGACTCAGGGTATGTGCTCAATAATGTGTGGGGGCAGTATGGTATGGTAAGTACTACAGTTGGCCTGTGTCCAAAGTCCAGTAGGAACAGCGAGAAGGGACAATTAATTTTCCATACTGAGCAGTGGGTGGGGGAAGAGTTGAAGAGTGATTAAGGAAAAAGTGAAAGCCACCTTCTTCTGTGAGTTCTGGATAAGAAGCAAGAGAAGAACTGCCCATTTTGCATGCTCTTGATACGCTAGAAGACACCTCTGGACTGTTGGTTCCCCTGTGGTGGGGGCGGGGGGAGCCAGCCCCTCAAAGCCCCTTCCTGTGATTTATATGCCTATTGTGCAGCACCTTCCTGTGACGTGTGTGGTTACCTGTAAGCACGCACCCTAAGTATATATGGGCCTTGGCCAGAAATAAAAAGAGACTCTCTCCTGCCCTCTCTGCCCTCACTGTGCACAGACCTGGCTGGTGAAATCATGGCCGTCCCGGAGATGAGCATGCTATCGTGAAATGTGTCTGCCTCCTTCATTTTACTCTCTCACTGATCTCTATTATTCTCTATGACTTTACTATGATCTTTATATTTTAACCATATACTTGTGCTTACTGGACCCATGATAGTGTGAGGGGCTGGCTTCCCCCACACCCCTGTCCCCCTGTCTTAGGACAGGATGACTTTATGGTCATGTCGCACATAAACATTTGTCTATAAGCCATTGACCATTTAAGACAGGTGTCACTTAGACATATAATATTAAGTGTGCCACCTTAACTGTAGCTGAAAATGGAGATGGGCACACAGATGCGTTGGTTAAGGATATTTAGTTCTATGCAGCGCAATGTCCTTTACAATATATTGAAGACCGGTATTTGAAAACTAGCAAATTTTGTTAGCAACCAGAAAGTAGCAGGCTGGGTCACTAGAACTGAATGTCTTGAAGCTGACTGTCAGATTTTTCCAAGGGCAAAAATGAAACATGATATAAGCCATTACAGCCATGAACCTGTTCTCACCCACCTGATGCATTTACTAATTAGCTTCTTGGCCTGGTGGCAATTTGGGACAAGTGCATGCAAGCTGGATTCATGGGGGAGCCCACATTTCGCTCTTCCATTTCACAAGCCACTAGGATACCACACTGCTTCTCTTGGCTTCTTTTCCTCCCAGGAGCCCTGTTCTGTGCCCTGGTCAAGAAATGGGAGCAAGAGAACTTTTCATTAAATGAGAGAGAGAGAGAGGTTTCATGATACTTTAGTGTTTCACTAGTTGTATTTTTTTAGTGGGCTTGTCTAACAAACATCCATAACCCATGACCCATTCTTTTCACTTTGGGGATTCTGCCAGTAGAAAAAAAATCCAAAATATTGAAAAAGACTAAATCACTAAGATGTTTTCATAACATTATTTAGACTAGCCCACAATTGGAAGTGCTCTTAATCTCTTAATAATTGGAAAATGGCTAAGTGTATCTTGATACACTTATTTTAAAAACTATTACACAGCCATTATGTTTATTATGAGGTCAGTATAAGCCATGTGGAAAAAGTGTTCATGTTAAGTGAAACATAGGGTCCAAAATAATATGTATATTGCTATTTTATTATCTTGTAAACATTCAGATGCACATAGGAAAAACAAACTAGAGAAATTCTGATGCCAATAATATTTGGGTTGAGGTGGTGAGGTGCATGGATGCTTTTTCCCTTTATTATAAATACCGGTGTGTTTTTTTTATATAGTACTTATAAATTAAAGCATAAATGCAAATAAAAGTAAGTGATATGCTGTTGGAAGCAGGCTATTAGTTTGCCTGGGAGGTTATACATATATATATATATATTTTTTTTAACATTTTATTAGGGGCTCATACAACTGTTATCCCAATCCATACACACATCAATTGTGTAAAGCGCATTTGTACAT